CGATCGGCCCGACATCGAAATCAAAACTAATTGAAATTTTTAACAGTAGTGATGCTCCTGCTATTGAATATGTTGAAACCACATGTCAGCTCGCCGATATTTTAACAAAGTCATTGTCATCAAAACGCATTTTTGAAATCGTGTCTCAGCAATTTTTTAATGTGTCATAGTAAACAGGGGAGAATGTTGTATAAACTTGACTATGACACTGACTATGTATGACAAGTAGTGTCATGGTTATTTTATTATTATTTTCTTGTTTGTTTATTTTTTCATTTTCTTTGTATTTAAACTGATTGTATTTCATTTGTTCAGGTGGTTATTTTAAGTATATCAATAAAACTCTTCCTCACATATCTTGGATATCAGTTATCGGAAGATTCTATCCGTCCTGCTAACATCAAGATTGATAAATTGAAGGAATTTCCTGTACCAGAAAATAAAAAACAGTTACAAAGTTTTTTGGGTTTGGCTGGTTACTATCGAAAATTTATTCCGAACTTTGGTACTATTGCTATCCCATTGGAAAATTTAAAACGAAAATTTGTACGTTTCAACTGGTCGGACGAATGTAATTCTGCATTTGAGCAGCTACGTGCTGGAATTTCTTCAACTTCTTTGTTAAAACCACCGATACCAGGTCAAACTTTCATAGTGCGCTGTGACGCCAGTGAAGTTGGCATGGGGGCCGTACTCTTACAAGATGATCCTAATGATAATAATGAACGAATCATTGAGTACGCGTTCAAAGCTTCTTTTTCTGATACCTGCGAAAACATAGGTCGGTACGATCGAAAAGCGAAGCGACAAGTATTATGTGGTCGACCGATTCAGCAGTGGCATCATTTTCTGATTGAAAAAAATTTGTGTTGAAACTGATCATAAACCAATAGTTTGCTACAATCAAAAAATCTTACCGAATAAATTGGGTCGTATGGCATTAAAGCTTCAAGAATACGATTTCGACATTAAGCATATTGATGGTAAAGCTAATGTCGCATGGATGCTTTTGTCAAGAATTTGTTTGATTGAATCATTTAACTGGTCTGTTGAGCAGAAAAGATCAATTTCGTTAAATGAATGTGTGATAAAACCCGCATCAATTCGTAAGGAAAGGGGATGTCCCCTCTATAGATCCATTGATGGGCTTTTGTCACTTTGCATTCCAACCGAAGTTTTGAATATTGTGATAAAGAATGTTCATGAAGAATTGTGTCATGCTGGCCAACGTAAAACGATGGAAATTATGCGTCGTCGTTATTATCATCCTTCGATGCGTGATCGACTCAAATCATTAATCAACTCGTGCGACAAATGTCAACGATATAAAGATTATGATACATCCGTAAAGGATTCGCTTCCGAAAAAAGATTATTCGACGTATGGTATAAATGATCATTGGGCTATTGATATTGCTGATATTGGTACAACCACTAAAGGTAATAAATATCTCGTCGCAATGATTGACGTACACTCTAAATTTGTAGTCGCATCGCCTGCAAAAGTCGTCACCACTAAAAAGATCATTCAGTTTCTTAAAACTGCATGGAAGAAAAATGGAAACCCGAAATCATTATTGTGTGATCGAGCTTCTGTGTTTGAATCTCAAGAATTTAAAAGTTTCTGTCAAGAAAGAAATGTCGAATTGAAATATGCTATAGCATATCAACATCAATCTAATGGTTGTATTGAACGATTCTTCAGGACTTTCCGAAACATGATTCGAGCCGCAGATCATTCATCTGATTGGGATGCTAAACTTGGTATCATATTGAATGCTTATCATTGTGTTCCTCATGATTCTACAAAAGTTCCGCCAAGTATTCTCTTCCATGGTGAAGTCTTGAAACTACCATCTGATGGCTTGGTACCTTTGGATCCTGGGTTATACCTATTGTCCGATCAATCAAAGGAGCAATTAAAATCATCCGCAGCCATTAAGCTTCGTAACCAAGCTGGTGAACCAGTCAAGGAAGCACGGTCGTTTGAAGTTGGTGATCGAATTCTCGTACGTCGGAAAAATAAAAGAAATCAACCATTTATTGGTCCCTTCGTTGTTCATAAAAAAACTGGTCGAACAACGTATGAAGTCAAAGGAAAACATCCTGGTCCATTAATGTCCTGTCATGTTAATCAAATGAAAATCTTTGATGGATCAGATGATCTAATTCCAGTGCCACAACGTGGACGCCCTGTTTCAACTTCAGGAGGGGGGTGTAACGTGATATTTGAACGATCATCCACGTTGTGACTCGTGAGTCATATTCGAGTTGGCTTCGTGTATAAAAAGGCATTGCATTTGATACTCGAATAGAGACTAGAAGAAAGACTACTTTGTGCTTGTAATTGTGTAACGTGATTTTTGATTATTTTGTTTAATAAAAATATTTGATAAAAACTTTGTTCGTTATTCTTGCCTTCGTGTTACTTTTGGTTATCCCACTCGGCCAGCTTACTTCGTACATATTCCATTTTTTTTTACTCCGTTTTCTTTATCTTTTCCTTTATTTCATCGCAAAAAAAATAAGTTCTACATTTAAATTTAGTCACGATGGTCAATGTTTGATTGTATGTGAATCAAATAAAGTGATGATGATGATAGCTTGAGAAATGAAATTTCGAGAAGAGAAAATTCCCAGGAAAGTTGTAATAACATTACTTTTTCTTTTCTTTTTTTTTTGCTTGCTTCAAGTATAGAGTTTCTAAGTAAGAAGAAAAAGAAAGAAAGATACAACACGATTTTTTGTTTTTTATTATTCGAATACAAGTTTTTTTTCGGAATTTATCATGATGATGATGATTGGAATAAGTTTTGAATTTTCTTTTCCATTTAATTTCTATTTTTGGCCATTGCATATACATACATACATATATTATGGAGAGATCCAAATAATAAGAAAAAAGTAAATGCAAAAAAAAATTCAAATTATTATAATCAGTCTCGTGATGAATAATACAGAGAAAAGATATATTTTATTGTTGTTGATATATGAATCACAATATATCAACAAGTCAAACATGAAAGATAAGATGAGATAGAATAACCGGCCGGAAATGAATCGATTCGAAAGAAAAACCGGAATAATAATAAAGTCAGAAAGAAAGAAAAAGATCTAATTTCCTGGCAATCGAAAAAAAAATCAAAATTCAAAATTTTTTTCATACATTTTCAATCGAAAAATTGAATCAATCAACAACAACAACAGCAGCAGCAGAAAAATTTCATCTTCACCGATTGAAGAGAATCAAAAACCCCGAATATGAACGTAATATTTTAATTCAAAAGTTTTTTCCTTTCCAAAACTTTTTTCTCTTATTCATTCGTTGTAAAGATTACAATATTCGATGCTGATGGATAAAACGAACAAGTTTAAAAATTGAGAGAACAACACAAATTCTTCAAACGAATTTTTGTTGGTTTTGTTTTTTTTCTGGAATTTGTTTTTGCTTTTCTTCAGTTTTTTTTTGCATAAAAAGGCCAAAAAAAACTTGTGATTCTAAGGAAAAAGAATTCTTCTTATCATGGTTATAACAACAAAAACCACAACAACAACAACGACGACGACCTTTGAATATTATCATGATGACGACGACCTTCGAATTCCGCATGACGAGAAAGATAAAAAAAACCCGGAAAAGGAAATTTTTCCAAACACGCACACATACAATTTTATAAGCTAAATAATAACCATAATCCTTAACAACAACAACAACAACAACCACCCAAACATCCCAAGGAAGCAAAAAAAAAAAAAAACAGAATAAGAAAATTAAAAAAAGAAGAAGAAAATTTATAAGAATTTCAATTCTAACCAACCAACGAACGAAAAAAAAAATATATAGGAAACGAAAACACAAAATTGTTGCCGGTAATGAATGAACGAAAAAAAAGTAGAGAGAAAATTAAATCACAAAATAAAAACACACACACACACACACAAACAGTGAAAAAGAGAGAGAGAGAGATTCACTCAACTCTTTCACTCTCACATGCTCTTACATTGATAGCTTAATAATAATAATAATAAAAATAATGAAAAAATATTCTCACTTTCATTCATTCATTTATTCATTATTATTAATATTATAACCATGTAAGAATACAAATAGAATATATTTGATTACAATTTACTATACATTCACCATATATTTATACTATATATATCATCACATTCAGTATAATTAAAAGTTTTTTTTTTGGATATATATTCTGCCAGTGTCGGTATAATGAAATCATCATAATCATTACATAATAATAATATATAATGACGATGAAATGAATACAGAAGCAGCAGCAGCAGCAGCAACAACAACAACAACAACAGTAGCCAAAATAAAGAAAAAGTGTGAAAGAAACGGTTTTTTTTTTAATTCGGTTTTGGTCTTCAATGTAAATATAAACTGTTTTTGGAATTAAACGTTTCAAGACACACACACACACAATGCCCTTAAAGATAGGGAAAGAATTAAATTCTTATTGCTTGAATTTTATTCTTATTTTTCTCTTCTCTCTCTCTCTCTCTCTCTCTTACCGTGTTTAGATATTATATGATGGTAAACAATGAATCAAATCTCTACAACGATATTTATTCTCTTCAGGGCATGTCAATGAAAAAAAAAATCAAGAAAAGAAAATCAAGATGAATCAAATGAATAAAATGAAAAACTAAGAAAATAAGATAAGCTATTTTTTTCTATCTAATATTTCAATCAAAACAGAAGAATTTTTATCTACTATTATTATTATTCTTTGTTTGTTAAAAGAAAACTGTTAGTCTTTAGCTAACATTTCATACGCGCATGTGTGAATAGTTGAAATTGTTCCAAGAAGTTTTTGTTTTCTTTTTTTTTTTTTTATTTAATTTGACCCCAATTCTTTAATATCGATAATGATGTCATTGGATTATCATACATCATTATTATTCGTTTGGAAATTATCCTCAAATTCAATATGTTTTCTTTGATTTATTGATTTTCATTATCAAATCAAAAACACCTACCTTCTTTGACCAATAATCGCCGTTCTTCATCGGTTATTTCTGTATCGATGGTTCGTGAACCACGGTTATTATTGTTATTATTTAATTGTTGTTGATTCTGCTGCATTGTTGATGAACGTGTATTGTGTATTGAATTACCGGTTGTTCCGATTGTAGTGGATGATTTAAGCAATGATGTACCGCCGCCACCACCACCACCACCAGCAGCAGTATTATCATGTTTCAATAATAAATTATCTACAAAAAAAGAAGAGGAAAAAAAATTTAAAAATTTTTTTTAAATTATAATTTTCAATTTTATTTTACCATTCAAATGACTAGACGATGAAGATGACGAAGATGATGATGATGATGAATGGCCATCAGCAATCTGTTGGTGTTGTTGTTGTTGTTGATTTATAGATCGTTTAGATTTTTTTGTCGTCGATGTTGCCCATTGTACGATTGTTGTTGATTCCTGTTGAGCTTGTATTAATTCACTTCCATTCGTTTGTTGTTGTTGATTCCAATCATTTTCATTTTTAATTTGACGTTGTTGTTGTTGTCGTTTACGTTTTGTACCACAACCACCACCACCATTTGACATCACTATAGTCGATGATTGTTGTTGTTGTTGTTGTTGTTGTTGCTGTTCATTAGTCATTGGATAAACAATGATTGGATATGTTGATGTAGATTGATGATTTTGTTGTTTATTTCGTTTACCATTTATTTTTATCGATGCTGATTTATTCATTATTCGACCGGCACGTTGAAAGTTTTTATTTTTATTTTCTAATAATGATGATCTGATTTGTTTATGATTCAATTCACCATTCACATCATCATCATTGTTTTCTTCATCTTGATCATCATCGATACCATCGATATCGTCATACTCATCACCATCATCATCATCATCATCATCATCATCAGAATCTTCTTCAGTAGTTGTCCATGGTGATTCGTGTAATAGAATTTTATTATCTTCTTCATCATTTAATAAATCATCCATGAAATACATTTTTGGATCTGATGAACTATCAATAAGAAAACTAGTTGCAGGTAATAATGTTTGTTGTTGATTATGATGATGATTTAATTGTGTATTCAATAAATCATCATTGTTTGTTTTTGTTGTTAGTGGTGGTAGCAACGGTGGTGGTAATGGTGGCAATGTTGGTGACAATCCATTATCCATCATTAAATGATGATGACCACCACCACAATCACCATCCATAGCATTCATCATTGTTGTAGGGCTTAATAATTGATTTTTGGCATTAATATTTCGTCGAATCATTGACTGATTATTCGATGATGATGATGATGGCGGTGATGTCGATAATGATGATGATGATGTTGGAAATAATTCCACCGAATTTGTTCGTGGCGATGATGATGCCGATGATGTTGATGAATGGAATGATGATTCAATAAAATCATTGGATGTCAATTTATGGAATTGTTGTTGTTGTTGTTGATTTTTTAGATTCATCATCATTAATAGATTTTCATTATTGAAATTATCATTATTAACCAATATTGAATCATTGAAGCAATGATTTTGTTCATTTGTTGCTGTTTCTATTTGATTTTGCAAATTCTGTTGTTGTTGATTATTTTTAATAATCAATTTTGTTGAACAATTTGATGATGTTGATGAGGACGAGGATGAAGACGCTGATGATAATGATGATGATGTCGATGTTGATGATGATGATGGTGGTGGTGGTTGTAGATTTGATGTTGTTTTTGTTTTTGTTGTTGTCAATGTTGATGATGTTGATGTTGTAGTGGTCGCAACATTATCATCAACATTATCCATTGAAAATGGGTAATAAAATTGTCCATTGAGCGATAATGATATCATTGATAGATCGTCATTTAAAAAACAACAACGTGAATCAACTAAATTATCAATTGTTGTTGCTGATACTGATGTTTGTGATGATGATGAAAACAGCTGATCAGCAGCTGTTGTTGTTGTTGATGGTGATGGTGTTGTTGTTGAATTCGAATTAATCGCTGATTGATCATGTTGTTGATGTTGATGGTGATGGAATGCTGACGATGATAATTGTTGCTGTTGTTGATGACTAAATTCATTTGATAATCGATTAATTGTTTTAATTGATGAATTATTGGCAGTGCCATTATTATTTTGCATTGATGATGATGATGATGATGAATTTTTTGGCGATGTCGATGATGATAATGATGGTGGTGGCGGTGGTGGAAGTAACATTGGAATCATTGATTGATGATCCTGATGATGATGATGATGATTTATACCCTGATAATTGGAACAATTTGTTGATGTCGATATTGATGATATTAAATTTGTATCATTTGAATCATATTCTTCAAGTATTGTTTGAAATAATCCTTCTGTGTCATCTAGATCAATACCATGAAATAGATCCATTGATACAGCAGCTGATGTTGATGATGATGAATTCATTTTGTTTTCTATACAACAATTTGATTGTTGTTGTTGCTGTTGTGTTGTTGAAATTAAATTATCTAAATCATCTTGATAGTTTTCCAATAAATTTGAATTCAAATCATCTTTAATAGATGTTGATGATCCAGTTGTTGATGATCCTGTTGATGAAGATGATGATGCCACTACCATTACAGGCCAATCATTGACTAGATCATTATCATCATCATCATTATCATCACCATTCAATGATGGTAGATCTAAAAAAAATTAAATAAAAAATTTGATCAGAAAATTGAAATTTTTATCCAAACAAAAACAACGGAAATTCAATCAACACCACCACCGAAAAAAAATGAAAGCAAATAAAGCATTTGCCAAACAAACAAACAAAAAATGTGATAAGGAAATGTTCTTGATTTCTAAAAACATTCTTTATGATGAATTTTGTCCATTTTTTTCTAGATTTCCAAGATTTTCAATTCGACCCCCCCCCCACACACACACACAATTGCAAATTGAATTTATTCAAATTTTGATTTGATCAATGACCATGATGTATGTGTGGAGGACAGTGTTGGAAAAACAAAATATTGTGTCCGGAAACGAAAACATTGAAATCCACATATAAATAAATAAAAATGTACACTGAACGGAACAAAACGAAACGAAACGAAAAAAAAAATCAAAAAATTGAATACAATTCACACCCATCCATCTACCAATAACCGAAAAAAAGAAAAACAGATGGCAAAAAACAAAAAGAAACAAAACAAAACAAAAAATGAACTATAAATCCTTAGATGATCCAATTTATGAAGTGGAGAAATGATGAAACGACTATGACGACAACGTTATAATAGCTACAAAAATAACGACGCAAATGGTTTTTGCTGTTCTTAATTTACTTTATCATTTTGCATGTATGTAAAATTTCATTTTTTCTTGTCTTGATATTATTATGATCGGGTAGGATGATTCTTTTCTCTTTCGTTGAAAAAAAGAGGTACTAGATTCTTCTCTTTTTTTTGGTATTCCATTGAAAATTGATGAATAACCTTTTGATATGCATCTATATTGAAAGGAATAAATTCCATAGAATAGAATCTACTAGAAAACAACAACAACAACAACAAAAAATCTAATAAGAATGGACATTTTATGAATAATTTTCATGTTGTGCTTTGTGTTTTGTTTTGTTTTTTTTTTTGGATGTAGCTACTGTTCTATGCTAGTCTTATTGACGTATTCATTATGCATTTAATTTCATGCAATTTTTATTCATGTAAAATAGGTCGTATGTGTAGGTTGATAGGTAGTAGGTAGGTGGGTGTGCGTGTGTGCGTTTGTCTCAATGTGAAGGCGCGTTTGTATGTATGTCTGAGAAATTTTTTTTTTCTGTCTGAAACCCAAAAAAAAACTGGAATCGAAACCAAAATACCCAAAAAAAATGATAAATCTGACAATGAGACAATCCAAAATTTCAGGATAAATAATGAAATTTTTTTTTTGGTTTTGTTTTTGATTAAATCAATATTTTTATATTAACCTACACACATCTATAGATCAACATCATCATTCATTTAGTCTGTATCTTTGTGTGTTACATGTAAGTGTTGTGATCAATTTGCTTTTCACACTATCTATATATGTGTTGATTTTATTTCATGAACAAATCGAATCAAAATCATATCCAATAATCGAATCGTGAATTCTTTTTACAGTTTCTGATGATTAGTTTATATGTTTCAAAAATTAATCAATAATAAATTGAGCTATCATCATCATCATCATCATCGAAATGTTGATATTTTTTTTCCTCTTCTTCTGTTTTTGATATCATTGGTTTTTTTCGAACAAAAAAAAATGAATGGTTAGTTAGTAAGTGGAAAACAAAAATAATTTTGATTGATCGATCGATATTGATTGATGATGAAGCGGAAAAAAAATTTAGAATTAGTAATGAGATTTGTGTAATTTTAAGCTGACATAAGCTAAATGATGTGTTATCGTTTTTTTTTTTGATTTTAAATTTCTGTTTTTTTTTCTATAGTAGTGGATGAACAACCTGATGGATCATATATATTGTATTGTATATATGGGGATTATTTAGGCAAAAGCAAAAAAAGATTAAATGCTATCAATATATCACTAGATTAATCGTTTCGTCTACGTGTGCGTGTGTAAGTCGAAAGATTTTATTAAGAGAAAATTACACAATTTCAGCAGAAAAAAAAACTTGATCAAAAATCAATCACACAATTATCGGTGGTGGCAATACGGTGGTTATCATTTTTTTTTTTCTCATTTTGAATGAATGACAAAAAAAATTTTTTTATTTATTTATTTATTTGCAATACGATAAAGAAAACTAAAATCAAAAACAGAAAAAAATTCAATTCATCAATACAAGAGATTATCATCATCATCATCATCGTCATCTAATAAATTGATCGTTGAAAGAAAATTTATCCGTTTATTTAGCCATTGATCTTGTATTTATGTGTGTGCATGTGATATTTCAATACGGAATTACGAGAAAAAATTCCAAATTCTGTTACTAACCGTAACAGAGAGAGAGAGAAATGGAAATACTTGGAAAACTTGTTACTATTTACACCACAAACTCACACGCACATATTCACCATCATCATTAACTATATATAGAAAAAGACATAAACAAGAAAAAGAGAACGAAAAAAAAAAAAAGAATAGACTAAACAACATTGGAAAAAAAACTGGACTGAAAATGTATATATAAATATAAACGTGAATGAAGAAAAAAAAAATTCTGTCGTTTTTTTTTTTCTTCTTCTTCTTCTTCTTTCTAAAGTATATGTTTAGATTATATACGTCATCAAAGAGTGTATGAAAAGAAATATTTATTCTGTTTGTCTGCATTCAACAAATGATCCAGAAAAGATTCAAAATTCAAAAATGAAAATGTCAAAAATTTTCATAGATCATTGTGTAAGTGTGTGTGTGTATCTTTTTTTTGATCCATTTTTTTTTGAATATTCTGCATTTGGATCTCTATATTCTCTTGTTCATAAATAACCAAAACCAAACAAAAATGCTTCATTTTCATTTGACGCAGCCCGGCAGCAAACAATGAACAAGAAAAAAAAGTACTCGAAATATATTCTTCCACATTTGATTCAATGAATAATTTACTCGATTTGATTATTTATTTTGGTGTTGTTGTTGTTGTTGTTGTTGCTGCTGCTGCTGCTGTTTTTGTTATTATTGTAACTAGTCTATTTTTTTAGGGAAGAGAAAAAATTCATCAACAGAATACACAGACACATGAACACATACATTGACCATATACGGATTTGCTTAGAGTAAAATAAACTATCATAGTATTTGGTGGAATATTTATGCGTGTGTATGTGTTTATACGGTATAGTAATAATAATAATAATAATAACCGCCAATAAATACGAACACAAATCAACCAGGAACAATAATAATATGGCCAAATGATCATCATCATGATCATCATGACCATTTTATCCTAATCATATAGGAATGATTAATATTAATTGATGATTGAATATATTAATATTATGATGAGAAATACACGCATACACACACTCTCTCTCTCTCTCTTTCTGGTTGTGTGGAAGCGAAACACAAACATTTTATTTATCATCATCATCATCATCATCATCATTATCGTAACATTTAGAAGAAAAAAACGAAAAAAAAAACAACAAAAACGGAAAAACGAATCAGGCAAAAAACAAAATGAAATATAAGTAAAAGTAAAACCAAACCAAACACATGATCCAAGCGTATCGACGCACACAGACACAGAATAATGAACGAAATATGAATACAAGTGGTGGTGGTGGTGGTTTCATGGTTGATGGTTTAGACATGGAAAATTTTTATTAATAAAAAAAATTTTTTTTTGTAGAAAAAAAGTGACTAGGTGATTCGATCACCTCCGTCTATCTGTCTGAAATGAAAAAACCAGCCCACGAACATAGAGAGAGAAAGGAAGAGATTATATTTTCTCTCTGTTGATAACATCTGATCAATGGATGGTTGATTGATTTTTTTTACTTGCTGTTTAGATTATTGTTGTTGTTGTTGAAAGACATCTGTGAAGTGAAAACTTTCAAAGAAACAAAAAAAAGAAAGAAAATTTTTCTCATAAAATAAGGTAAATCTAGCGGAATTGATCCAATACGATTTATTCATACATACATGTGACATAGTGTGGAAATTTTTTTTATTATTTTAACACTTTATATTCAGATTAACACTGTTAAAATAAAACGTCGGTGGTACAAAAAAAAAAAAAAAGAAATGATGAAAACGGCAGAAAGATCCAAGAATAGAATCCACACACACACACATGCAGACATTTTGGAAAAATAATGAAAATTTAATGAGAAAACCAAAAAAAAAAAAAATGCGATAATCGAACCGAACAAATATAACCTCATCCTACAAACCAATAAATATATAATTCCGAAATCCGGAAAAAAAATTCAGATACCGCCTAATACCAATCATCGTCGTAGTTTTAGAATTTTGTCTTTTTTCTTTGTTTTTGTTTCTATTTGGAGAAAATAAAAACAACAACAAAATTTGACAAGTAATCAATGGATGATTTTTGCAATTTTTTTTTTTTGGTTTTTTGATTCGTTTTTTCTTTCTATCCAGATTGCTTAAATCTGATTAATGATGATGATAGAAAATTATTCCGTGTAACACGTCTTTTTGTTTGTTGTTTGAATCTATTTTTATATATAGATTGGAACGGATATTGAAACTAACGATAATTATTTATTCCGTTAAAATGAATTAACAATGTAAAAATAACACCGATGTCCAACCGAGTTGTTGTTGTTGTTGTTGTTCGATTTGATCACACACACAAACCCGTAATAATGACAGAAAAAAAAACAGGAATAAAGGATTAATTTCATTGTGGTGGACAGGAAATCAGAGAATTTAATAATTATATTGATCACTACTACTACATATGACGTATTTGAAACATA